CATTTTCTTGGACAAGTAAAATCAATGAAGAATTTTAAATGTGTAGTTACTTTCTTTGCAACTACATCTACTGTATGTCTCTTGATATTTTCTTTATTTTGATCCATGCGAATGTACTCTTTTTGCATTATCTGACATTCAGCGTCTGACATTTAGGCATTTTTTTATTGAAATAAATGCCTAGCAAAATGCCCAAATGGTTTATTTTGCTATTTTTTATTTTTTTTTACGCATAAGATGTAGTTCATCATCCGGTGGTCCAAAATCAATCAGGGTGTAGATTAAGAGTGTTGTCATTTTCTTTTCAGAAACTGGGCCGCGACCCCTCCGATGAAGACTGCTTCTTTGACCTTCTCAGTAAGTTCCAGAGCAGCCGCATGGACGATCAGCGCTGCCATCTTGATGAAACACAGAACGGAGATAACGCAGAGGGTGCTGCCAACACATCCCTAAATGAGATGATAGGTCAGTTAATTTTTTCTTCTTCACCTTTTCAGTTTTATTACCAAAGTGCACCTGGGGAAAAAAGTTAATTATTCTAAATCGTCACACTAGGAAGTAATTTCTCTGTCTTGTACTGTCCTTTACAGATCCTGCACTTACCACATCCCCCCAGACTGAGGAGCTGTTTGACTTGATTGCTAGCTCTCAGAGTCGCCGCCTTGATGATCAGCGTGTTAGTGTTGGAAACCTCCCAGGCCTTAGGATTACTCACAACAACCTGGGACATCTGGTTGGTGAGGGAGATCATCAAGAACCCAGCGACGATTTCTTCAACATGCTTATTAAGAGCCAGGTCAGAACCCCATTTTATAGAAGTGCTAAAGTTAAATTGTCATAGAATACTGAAACACTTTAAGGACGTCAGGGTTCCTGTGGAATCATAAAACTGCTAAACTGAAATGCTTCATTTTCCAAATCTAATGTGCTTGGAAAAATAACAAAATTATTATGATTTTTTTATTTACTGCCGATTTACAACAAATGTCATTCTTGGGCACTAAATAAGGGAAAACTGGTCCAATTCACTTGCAGTTGAATAAAGTGAATTCACTATAATCCAGGCATGAAGGCAGATTAGGGGGCAATGAGATGCAGTTCTGCCTGATCCTACATATTAAACCAGATGTTCTAGCTCAGTTTCTAGCATCAAAAGTTATTTATGTAAGAATTCTCAGCCCTTGACTCATTGACTTTGATGGAATCCATCATCCTGAGCAAGCACGGGGTGACAGTAGCAAGGATGAGTCTATTAAACATAAAAAAAATTCCCAGCAAAAGAAGGCCAAGTAGGAGTGTTAATCCGCTCCAACAGACTAGGAATTGGGAGCGCAGAGCATGCCAAACGGGAAGAAAAACAAACAAAAAAACAATTCAGTAGGGTTTCCTTTGGCGAAACAAAATCAGAGTATATAGAGTTACTCTGGTATTGGTCCCCTCTGATTTAGAAAAAAATAGTTTAGCACAAACTCCTGGTTTAGATCTATGTGAAGATAAAAAAAAAAAAACATGTACTACAGCCCTTTACCCACTGGAAGCCAGCTTTCAAGCTGCTTTCATTAGGTCTAATCTGCCAATTTTGACAAATTCTGTTTGTTTTTTTTGTCTAAGAATTATAACAAAAAAAATCCACTAGAGATAAATTGTTTGGATTCAAAATCTGTACATCTATCAAAGGAGTTGCAAGATTAAGCTTTCTGTAGGCAAGCATGTCATTTATCTTCATTTGGTGCATCTTTTATAAAAAGAAAAAAACTCACATTGATATAATAAACATCAAGTTTAGCCAGTATCAGGATTTCTTTAATATCATAATTATATTGTCATCCCAGTCGGTGTGTGTGCAACAAGTACTGTTTAAAGTGCAATGATTATTGGCTAACATTTTCCAAGTATTATGAACTTTCATTATAGGGGCTAATGTCATAGCTTGCTTGTCTCATGGCAGCAGAAGTTCACACCAGATAAATGCTAAAGTTCAGGGTAATGGAAGGAAAGCCGGTGGACATATACCAAAAGATATTATCATTGAGCATCCATCATTTATTCGAGTTTAACTTCTTTCATTTTTTTGGCCTTAGTCCTCTAGGATTGATGATCAACGGTGCTCCCCACCAGAAGCAGGCCCTCATGCCCCCACAGTGCCTGATGAAGATTTCTTCAGCTTAATCCAAAGGGTACAGGCAAAGCGTATGGATGAGCAGCGGGTCCAGCTACCCTCAGATGACCAGGACCAGGACAGTTCTCACTCCCCTGACCAGGAGCCACCTGGTGACTTTCCAAGCTAGGACTTGGTGAATAATGCTGTACATCTTGTCATGTCATTTAAAATAGAAAACAGAGGCAAAAGCAGGATGAGCAGGCCGTAAAAAAAAAAAATAAATAAATAAATGAAAAAGGTACTGATGGGTGACCTAACCAGTTAATTAATGAAGAGAGAAATTTCATGTGCAATAGGTGGTGCCCTGTTAAATGTTACTTGATGTATTATGTATAACGTGTAAATACAATGTTAAACAAAATGGGAGGCTCGAGGAGTCTGCAAAAAGTTTAGGGTGGCTTAACAAAGATAGAAAAAGTATCTACTCAGTCTAATGCCTTAATCAAATGATTTTTCAGACCTGAGATTGTATTCCCTAGTGTCAAATGCATTTTTGGATGCACAGGTTGGGCATACAGTATGATGTGGAGAGTAAAACTTATAAAACAGTATAGTTATAATGGGAGGTGTGCACTGACGTTTGTTAACATGAACTATAATGTTTAGAAATTTAATTCCATTGTGCTCTGATTAATGCTGCTTAGTTTTATCCTTGATCTGTTTGTGGTTTCTACCACTTTTAGTGTTGTCTGTGCCGTGACAGTATTAATGTTGGCCTTTGACAAACTCATTTGGTCATCTTGAGTTATTTTACTAATTATTTGATAAAAAAAAAAGAAAGAAAAGAAATTATCCACTGACAAAATAAGAAAATTGTCTTTGTTTTTACAATAAAGTTCTAATTAATTTTTTTCTAGACCAAGGTTAAAGGGCAAATTACATGGCTTCTTTATGGGTACAGACCAGAGTTACTTGCTAATTTAACCTTAAATTCTTTGAATTTTATTTGTTGATGATTTTTTCACTTGCCTGTGATCCTTAGAAGATCTGACAACTAATTACATTTCGCAGCTTTTATTTATTGGTTAAAAGCAAAGAGATGTCATGTTTCTGGTGCGTATTCGTAGCACACTGCCTCAATGTGGTAAAAACTTATTACGTATGTGAATTGAAGGGTGTGGTCTTTTAATATGAGTGACATTGTGATTCAGCATCACAGTTCTGCATGATTACTTTGGTTGTGCTTATTGTTGCTAGCATTATAAATGCTTTAGAATAATCGATTGCAGATAAGTGCATTTTTCAGTTTGTTAGAGAGAGTTGTAGACTAGCCATGGGCTGGTGTAGGAGTCTCAGGGTATAACCTTGAAGAAACACCATGGGTTTGCGGTATTATGACATTTAAACTTGACCTAATTGCAATTACTTAAAACAGAAATGCAATAAGTAATCATACTTGTATCATCTGACACTTTTATTGTTACTCCCTTGGTATCAAAAATGTAAAGTAACAGCTAAATTTTGAAGGAGAAAAAAGTCCAGTTGTGCAGAATATTAGTTTATTTATCCTCTGCCTGTTTTTGTTTCACGTAGAACTGCTAAATCGTCTAATGTGTAATTGATGAAGAGCCGAGCCAACTTCCAGCCACCTGTACGCAGCAACAGGTGTGAGCGAGCTGACTTCATGTTACTGCTTCCTCAGTTCTCTCCCAGAACAAACTGGTTTCTATAGCCCATCTTGCATCATCTCTTTAAGGCTGACTTTAAACCACAGGAATTATAAGATGAAATTGCTTGCAGTTTTCAAAGAATTTTATTTTTCTTCAAACAATGGAATACCTCGACAGTTCTAACCACCCAATTGCTACTACATGCTACACATGAAAAACTTAAATTTGCCAGGAGTCTGAAAGTAAGACCAGCTACAAAGTATCTATTTTAATGGTACTGGGATTATGTATTCTTAACTTTAGAATTTTCTTTTTTTATTTAGAAGTATTGCATACCTCATATTTGAACCTCAGAGTTCATACCATGTAATTTAATAGAAATTGTGAATCACATTGGAATACTCAGTCCATTTCTCTTTGATATTAAACATATTGGGAGCTTTAGTTAAAATATTCCTTTTTTTTCTGTAAATGAACATTTTTAGAAAAATTATCTGGAATGCTTTTAATTATCTTTGCCATAATTGTACATAAAAATATATTTTGTATTTATGTTCCTTTTAAGGACATGAATATGTCGCCTCATGCTTTTAATAAAATGTTTCGAATGTTTATATGAATTGCGTTACTTCCTCCTTTCAGGAACAGGTGCTCCACATATGATTGTGTCAACATATTCAGCAAGCTGAAAAGTTACGTCTTTACCTACCACTTATTGAACGAGTTTATGACCCTGGAACTGTAGAAAAGTACCAGCCAAGCCAATTTCCTAGCTTCCGCATTCATTGCATAATCACAACTGGGTTGGACTAAAAAGCATTTTTCAGTTTTTTTAAGCAGTTGCTTAAAGATAATAAGACTAGAAACCATAACACAATCTTTTATATCATATTTCAGTTAGAATATGTGTGTTAAGTTAGTAGGTGGCAATTCCTCTTTTTAAAGTTTACTTCCTCCTAAAGTCCTTGCATAATTTCTTTACCAGACATGTCAGAACATATTTTGAATGGTTCAATCTTGCTAAGCCATTTACACCTCACATTTGGATACACTTCTATACAGCTGTTAATTTTTCTGCCACTGTTCTTCCCTCAAGTTACCCTCCCTTTAGTTTTACCCCTGCTTTCTTCAGTTCATCAGACATTCCCTTCCCCTCTCCCTCCCTCTCCTCATCTATTCTTCCTCCCTCTTACCCATAGTGCATTGCAGGCTGAGCAGGCTCAGCTGTGCTATAAAAAGGCATCTGATGGGGGAGGGAGGGCTGCCGTGCAGCAGGAACTGTGCAGACGTACGCACACGGGAATCCAGGGAAAGGCAGCCCCCCTTTGCAGAGGGATCTAAAGCCGCAGCGCGGAAGAGAGGTCAGTACAGAGGACGAAGGGCTCGGTAAAGGAAGATCGGGCAGGAATGTCTGTGTGACAACAGTTATTCTTTTGTGAGATGTAGTGCCAAATGGAGATGACGGAGACAGAAGGCAGGCAGAGTGGGCAGAGCTGTTTATGGGGATGGAAAATGAGAATAACTGAGGCTGAGTGTGTAGTTGTCATCTGCCATTTGAGGTCTACAGACATTTTGTAAATCATTCAAATTGGCAGTTTCAGAGAATCTGATGTTTCTTTAGTGCAAAGGCACATATATCTGGTCATTCTTGGTTATCTTAGGGATGAAATGGGGTAGGGACTTTTAAATAATTACCTTCCATGTAAATACACATCAGAAACACATTCATATGCATAGACCATGTTTTGAACTGCAACCAATAAAGGTCATTGTCATGCAACTCTCTGCAGCCATTTAATTCCACATCCATCCCTCTAAGCCCCCATAAAGGTCATTAACGACTGATTAGTGCAAGAGTGTTATTGATTCTGCTGCACATTCAAGCTACCACTTTGCAACCAGATCACAAACAAGATTTCTCTCTCTCCATCCATTCACAAACATCATGGAATGTCTCAAAGTGTACTGACGTCAAAGGGTCCTTTAAAGGGGCAGCACGGCAAATTAAACTTCAAGAGAGCTTAACCAAATTGTGCACTGGAGCGTGTGGTCTGAAAAACTGTCAACCATGTCCAGTTGCTTGAAGAGCAGTTGGCCTGGGCTACGTCTCCATGTGCCTAATAGGTGTCACTAAATCCTTTAACAGCTGCAGACATCCTGGGTCTTTTTTTAGCAGGACCGCCTACATATTAAAAAGCTGCAGTAAGACGTTTGGGTATAATATAGAGTTTTAGAGAGTCTAAGGTCTTCCACTTTTTTAATTTGCTAGTTTTATGGATAATGGACAACTCCTTTATATTTAACTTTATGCTTTCTACTCTCAGCGTATTTAAGAATTTTGATGGTAACAATGTAAACAATGGCTCAGAATGCTTCTTCCATGTACAGTGGTCCACTAATTTAACAAAACACTAGATCACTGACCACACTGGTCAAAGTTGCCAAACAACCAAGAGTCCAGAAGGAAGGCACCATAATAGGCCAGAGCGGGAATCCCAAAGCGGCACCGTGCTGACTCCAATAACAGCCCACCAGTGACATTTACTCTGACCACAGGGGTCAGTGGGTGCCATCATAAAACCAGAAACCTGAGAATACAGCACTCACTCTTTAGGTGTACGGCAAATTAAATGAGCACATAATTAAATCATTTTTGGTTGTATTTTACAGTAGATGAAATACATAGAACTTGTTACGCCATTCTAACACTCGTTCAAAACTTTAGTGTAAGTTGACCCAGTGCAGGAATGCTGACCAGTAACTAATGAGTCAAATGGCAAGCATTGGTTAATCTCACCCCAAAGCCAACGTTTTCCTGGGAATGTATGTTGAGCAAGGGTTTAAAGGTAATATGGTTAAGGTACAAACATCCCAAATTAATTCAAGAAAGGTTTTACAGTACTTTCCGGACTATAAAGCTCACCTCATTATAAGCCACATCTATAAAGTTTGAAAAAAATTTAAAAACTGAAAACGTACATATATAAGCCAAACCAGGCTATAAGCCGCTGGTATCTCTGCCACGCTCGGCTTTTCATAAATCTGCTGGATTTATTAAAGACACAGCTCTCCGTCTCCAATGCCGAACCATAGATTCATTTACGCCAAGTTTTACGTGCAGCGGCTCCATTTCCCTCCTGTTCTGCCAGATCGATAACCTTCAACTTAAAAGCTGCATCATATGAACTTCTTTGTGTGGTTTCAATGATAAGGGGGTATGAGTTTGAAAACTTTCCCCGTCGTGCCTACTGCTAGCATTCCAATAATTTACTTCCTGCTAAAGGTTGAAGAAAAATCCACAGAAAAGCTGCACTGGGTTAAAAGCCGCATGGTTCAAAGTGTGGGGAAAAAGTAACGGCTTATAGTCCGGAAAATTAGGTAATTCTCATATTTATGCATCTTTGCAAGCCATAAAGCCATTCTCTTTAATTAATTTTCCTATTTTATATAACCAAACTGAAAAGATTTAATATGTTAGGTTTTTGTAAGCATGAATCCTTATTGCACAGGCTTGTCATGGCAGTGGCTTGGGATCCAAAGACTTTTTCTTTTTTATTTTATTCAATGAATGTTTTACAACCACAGCTTTCCAAAAAGAAAAATAAAAGAGCTTATAACTCTGTATTAACTTTTGTTTTCTGTGTTCATTAAAATAGATGAGTATCTACTTTTCAATCTATTGCAATTTGAATGTGTAAAAAGTCATTTTGGGTTGGGCACAGGCATGGGAGTATGTCCTTTTTATCTGTGGCAATTCAAAAACATGGAGTGAGGAGTTAAACACACCAGGTTGATTTGACTATCACATAGGCAGAAATGCATCAAAGAAAGAGGTACTGTTTAATTTAAATAATAAAAAAATATATTTTAGAATTAACAATTGTATAATGCAACAATAAAACCATAGGAAACCATTCAGAAAAAAAATCTAATGTATGACTAAATGTGACTGTGTGATAATCAACTCTAATTGTATTCATCACAATGTATACATCTTAAAATGATTGTTAAATCATTAAAGTGCACCATTCATTTGTACAAAAGGGAAAATCACTGTTTAAAATGCAAAGAGTTACAGAAACTAGGAAAGCTCTTAAACTAGAGACTAGGACACAGACATATTCAAGCTTGCACTTGAATATGTCTGAGTCCGCCTACATCCAACCTACTTCCTCATTCTTTTATCTCTCAGCTGCAAACTAAAACCAGTTTGTGGTTACTGTTTTCTTAGATATGCTCAGTACATATTGGGTAAAACTAGCAGTCCACTATTCTCTGTCGGTTGAACATTAAGGGCTGGAGGTGCTGTATATTTTTCAAACTGGCAGAATCAAAAAATAAAACTACAAAGAATGAAAAATATACTTAATATGAAACCATATTATGAAATCCTAGCTTTTTCTAAATTACATAATTATACTGTACTATGTTAAGATATTTGGTAGCTATCTGGTTGTACAATTAAAACTTATTTTATATGTGTATTTTTTTCCGGAAGCCATGTAAAAATCATGACAAAGATGTAGGGAAAGGAACTTTTGTCAAATCGGACCAAAATTCACCTTTTTGCCCTCCATTCACAATGCTATGTTTGTTTGAAAAATAACACTGTGCATCACGATTTTCATACTATTTCCATGATGAACCATAATGCCAGCTGTATCATGCAGTGAAGATTATTTTATTTTGGCAGAAACATGGGGGCTGGTCTGAGTTGATTGGAAGATGGTATAAAGATGGAGCAAATTGGGGAGAGTACATGCTGTTGACAGAAAATAACTTAAATAGACCCTTTTGAATTAGAAATATCTTAAACTTGCAGGCGCAGCTGGAGTGGAAAAGCTTAGAACCAGGCAGAAGCATGTGTTAAAATTGACCTGGTTCAATTATGAATATGTGGGGATTTTAATATTGATTTTTCTCGATGACATCTATTGAAGTTTCCACTGGTTGAGCTATATTGCCTGGAATAGTAAGTGAAAATGCAAGTCTTCATATGCTTACTTACCTATTGCCAAATAACAAAAAAACACCAAAATGAAACAAAACAACAAAAATGTAATTGCAGTGTGTATTTTGTGTTTAAAGTTTACACAATAAGCAAAGAAGTGCAATGATAGGACACTTACTACTACTACTGCTAGTACAACTTAAGAAGCAAAAATGTAGCACTCATGTAGAACAAATCCTGCTTTTCTCCACTGCGTTTTGAGTTACATTAATGTTTCATATGTCATAGCAATTTATAACATCACTTTTTTTGGCACCGTTTCTGGTTTTCAATTTGTAGCTTACTTCTTGCACAAAACCTGCCCCATTAGGGATGACGTAAAACTTTAAACTTAAACTCAATTCTATCATATTAATTATGCATTCTATATATTTTCAGGACCGTATGTATGAATCAAATGTGCACAGTGAGTGTAAGGACAAACATTACAACCTTAGAGAAAAAGCTAACAAATAAAAGAACAATAAAATGGTACAAAACAACTTTAGAAACAAATTATGTTTTCAGTTCAGTCATAGCCAAAGGAATGTCAGAATCAATGAAATAGTTGTAACACCTTAACAAAAAATCTAATATGACCTTTAGTGTTCTGCTACTACATTAGAAAGAGCAATCCTGAATTGATTCTGGAAACAATACAAAAATCATATGAGAAACGTTATGTCAGCCAGTTCAGACTACAAAATCTATATTGACAGTAAGGGGTAGAAGTAATGAAGAATTTTTTTAATAAGTGAAGGAGAAAGACATCAACATCCAGCTCGCTTCTCTGGATGATGTTTTCCAATTGTCAAGCAGCACAATGACGAGTTAGGGTTCGTGGCTCCTTGAAATGTATTGCTTTCTCACATTTACTTAATGTCTCTTATTTATTTTTTTCACAGCTAAAGGAAATCACTCCAGAGGCACAACACAATGGCAGGTAATCAATATATCACTTTCAGTTACATAAGTGCTTTACTGCATACGATCAATGAGGTGAAACTTCTTCATTTGTACTTCCATTAGTAATCTAATGCCGTTTAAGTAAAGCAGAGCCACAGAGCAGCTTTTTTTTTTTTTAAAGGCCTCTATTGCCCTCTTCTGGTATTTTTGTAGGTTGCAAGAAAAATCCTGTGTCCCACTTTAGTTGTTAATATAGAAATAAATCATTATTTGAATAGAAATTATGTATTTAATTTCAATAAGCATCTAAATATGTCATGATCTAAGCAATAAATCTGTGTTAAGGTTTCCTCCTGCAGCGGTTCGTTATGACTTTCCTTTTAGGTCTCGCTTAACCCCTTAGCTGCAAAGCATAATTAGGTGGCAACAGTTGCCATGTCAACGCAGTTTGAGTAATGACACAAACTCGCGTCAAGGCAAGCACAGCCAAAGCAGCTTGCTGCACAAGAAGACTCTTTGTTCTGCAACATTAAAAATGAAAAAAACATCCACCTCACAAGATGGTTTGTTACCTAAATCTCTTTGTGGATAAAAATTTAGATTTGTAGGAAAGCCACCAGTGTTGTACATATTCATAACTTCTATTTGCAATGCTTATTGCAGACAAAATCAAGGATGCCAAAATCATCTTTGTTGTGGGTGAGTACTCTGAACCAGTCCTGACACTTCATCTGCAAGATGTTCAGCTATTTGTTTTTTTTTTAGTTTATATATATATATATATATATATATATATATATATATATATATATATATATATATATATATATATATATATGCCACCTCATTGGGTTTTGTGTTGATGTCCTTAGGTGGACCTGGCTCTGGAAAGGGCACCCAGTGTGAAAAGATAGTTGCAAAGTATGGCTACACTCACTTGTCTTCTGGAGATCTGCTACGTGCAGAAGTGGCCTCTGGCTCTGAAAGGGGAAAACAACTCCAGGCCATCATGCAGAAAGGCGAGCTTGTTCCTCTGGTAAGGACGTGACGAAGAGTTTAAAGTAGTTCTATGAGCATTTTCTGGTAGAACTGTTATGTCGTAAAGTTTCATCACCTTTTCATGCCTGATCTCTAGGACACAGTCTTGGACATGATTAAGGATGCCATGATCGCCAAGGCCGATGTCTCAAAGGGGTTTCTCATTGACGGCTATCCTCGTGAGGTCAAACAGGGAGAGGAGTTTGAGAAGAAGGTCAGAACATGCATGGGGATTTATCATTTATTTCTGCAGCATTAAATCTAAGAGGTTTTAATTTTGACCTCAGATTGGCAAACCCTGCCTGCTGCTGTACGTCGACGCGAAAGCAGAAACCATGGTCAAGAGACTATTGAAGCGTGGCGAGACCAGCGGCCGCTCTGACGACAATGAAGAGACCATTAAGAAACGCCTGGACTTGTATTACAAGGCAACCGAGCCGGTCATCACTTTCTATGAGGGCCGTGGTATTGTGAAGAAGGTGTGGACGACAAACGCATTAACTAAAAACATATAGAATACATTTGAAACAGAAGTCTCATGCTGTTGTTCTTCTATTTATCTTGCAGGTGGATTCTGAGCTGGCAGTGGATGATGTCTTTGCCCAGGTTTCCAAGGCTATTGATGCACTGTAGTAAAACAACATAACTGGATGAGCTGTGTCTGGCTGTTGTTATCTTATGAGCATATGTGTGGATTTTAAGATGACTAAACCTGACTGGAATATAGACTACTAATCATAGGACCTCCACACCCCACCAGTGTTCAAATCAAATCAAATTGAAACAGTTTATTGTCATTTCAATGTAACATATACGATAGAATGTGCTCACAACAGTCTGTGGACAATTCAGTGTGCAAAAGCCTTGAATACCTAGCTAAAACAAATACAGCTAAAAACACAAAACATCTAGTGCATATACAATAACTGCCTTACTACTATTACTATTATAATACCCACAGTAGTTCAGCGTTTTAACAGCTTGACCCAAAAACTGTGTCGATCTGATAATTCTGCCATTATTGTGTCGTAACTGTTTGCTTGACAACTGCAGTTTAATAAGCTCTCAGAGATTTTCAGGATTTCAGGTAATGGTCTGGATCCTGTCACTGCTCTGCAGCAACTGCTAAACAGGCCTTGGACAGGGCCACTCCAGCAACCATTTCAGCTCTTCTCACTGTCCTCTTTGGGGCCCTTTCTGTGCCATATTGCAGCTGCAGTATCACACTGAGATGCTGTTTATGCAATGATATATTTTTAAAACAATTATCATGGGTGTCCAGCATGTAACAGACACCTTACATAATATTTTCATATTTTTCAAAGATACTCTGCTGTATTCCTAACTTGAGGGTTGAACATTTGGTTTTTGTACTTGACTGCAGCTGGTCAATAAGCTTTGATGTTTAAATTGCTTATCATTTTCTTGTATTGTCCATGTTAGCAAACAGAACATGTTATACCAATGCATTACATTGTGATATCTGCAGGTAATGTGGGAAAAGTCACATTACCCACTGAGATCTTTTCAACACATTTGCGATAAAAGAAGTTCAAAGTGCATAAAAACAACCTTGTCATTGCTACAATATGACTTCTTGTGACATTTAACAGAAACAAGAGTATTGTTCACATGGACTCAACTTTTCAATTAATTTTTTTACCCCATCATAAGCTCTGCAGACATTTTACACTACTTTCATTGTGAACATATGTACACATGTGAAAGAGATCTCTATAAAGTTGTAAGAATACAGATGTTCAATGTCGTATAAAACAATGTAGTTTGATGTTAATTTGTAGTGGTATATGTACAGAGCTGCATTTCCAGATTCCACTTTGTATGGTTTTAAACGCCACCATACTGAGATTATTGGTATTTCTGGACAAACAGCTAAAAAGGAGTCAACACAGGAAATGCTTTCTATTAATAAACCACATCGAGGACGCTGGAGAATGTAGACACAACAGGATACAGGACACCCTGCAGCAGCCACAGTTCAGCAGTGTTATTCCAATAACTCCTTTGAGGCCCAAATGACCAGCTGCTCTTCCTCTGCCTCTCACCTCCCTCATCTTTCTCTCACACAAACACACGTATTTCCAGTCGGGTCTGAGCCAACGTTACTGCAGGTATCCGGACTTTTCTCCAAGGACAGCTCTGATCATGACTATGCTCTGTAGGGATGAGGAAAGGGAAAATAGCCTCTCAAGGTGGACAGGATGTGTCCGTCGGAAAGTCAATCAGAAGAAGGCGTCTGAAACGCTTTCATAAAGTCACTGAGGATGCTGCTTGAATGCCAAGAATTTTGTTCTTGCCTCATAAAGGTAGGAAACAAAGAGGATATGTTGAGCTTGCAGTGGAATTTGCCACGTACAACTGTGAAAAAAATTGGTGTCTAGTTTGGCCGACAGCTTAATAATCTCAAACAAAGATGAGACAATATCAGTCATACATTCAAAAACATCTTTAAGCCATAAAACCTGATGATTTATACTTTCAGCATGCATTGTTTTTAAATGGACATAAAGATTATAACTTGCAACGTTAAAGTTATTGCGAAAAATGCAATCACAGAATCATCCGTTAATTTTTGAAATGAGACAAAACAATATACAGCAAATAGCAAGTAGCATAGAAGATGTATTTTGTCAGGGTTACACATTTCAGTCTTTTCAAGTAGACATTTCTGAGATATCACAAGAATAGCAAACTGTTTATTATAACAGCATTACGCTGACCAAACTGCTGGTGAAATGAGATGAGAACTCTGCTTTCAGATAGGATGACAAGGGACTGATAGTTCATTAAAATTTCATGCGGAAACAACCACAGAAATCCACAACTTTCAGGTCTTATAAATTCTATTGTGGAAGATTTAAATCGCAGTTCCTTAAATAGCCACCTGAGGCGCCAAAAGAGAGCGAATGCTCTCTATTGCATGCTGAAATGTCTGAAAGGAAACGAAACATATCTCAAAAAAATAAAGCAATGCAAATGGAGTAAAAGGAAGGGATAATGGAGGTAAAGTATTTATTTGTATTTTGAAATGGCATGAATTTATTTAGAACCACATCAGTAATCAAATGAAACAAACAAAAAACTATAGTACCATTGGAGAAATCAAAACATTTTATGATGCAAGATTTAGTGATTTGATGATTAGACTAAATCTTTGAGAAAGAAAGGCCTCCTTGCAACCACCCTTATCTTTAGTTCCCTTCATTCTCCTTGTTTTTTTCTATGTTGTGAAGCTCTGAAAAATATATTGCATTACAAAGGAGCAAAGAGAAACAAAGTGATTAAGTTTCTGAATATTGAACTTCAGTTTTGCTTTTGTCAGAAATAATACTCAAATCTTTGTTTCATCTGAACTTTGTTAAGTGGCTCAAATAGGTCAAGCCTTCAAGTAAAATACAAAACAATGAAACAGGTAATTGAGAAGCAAAAAAAAAAAAAAGTTTAATATTTGAATTAGTTAGGCAACAGAAAAAAATGTAAAAGGATTAGCTGATTGCCAGTTCAGGATTAGAGTAAAGATACTGATCATTCGTGTGGGTTAGACAGAAATTTCATGTGATAATGTTTTGATTGCCCTTTTAGAGGAAAAAAAAAGAGTAATATTTTATGATGTTCTTCATCAGACTAGATTTATTTACTTATAACTGAGCACATTCGGATTAGAGCCTTTTTGTAAAATCCTTGATAAATTCATTTTAGATGCCCCAATCTCCCACCTAAAAATCTTACGATTTGATGAGATGAAAAACTGAAGTAATGTTTTGTGCATATTTTAAAGACATTGAATATATTAAATATTTATGTATTGAATTTATTAAAGCATGACTGTCATCTGATGAGGCACATATCTCAGAGAAGTCTGACTCTTAAAGCTGAGTAAGTATTTCAATAATCTGCATTTATAATTCACCAAAAATATGTACTTGTACAGCTTACTGTGATAATATCAGCAGCAAAAAAAAAAAAAAAAATCATATACATGAAGCATAAATGGTGCATTATGTTTCAGCTTGGGAAACATGCTTCATGCATGCAGTGTTGCTTTCGAACTATCACTACAGTTAAGGGTTAATTTGCTGCAGGTGATCATTTCATGTGAAAGTATTTCATGTACGCATGTGAGCTGTTCAGGATTTGTTTTCATTTGCAGTAAAGTAACTAGATGAAAACAAGAAATCGGGACAGGTTGGAACAGAACCACCCACATAGTCTATTTAAAACCAGAGCTTTTAGCTGAATGTATATGTTAAGATACATTATCTCAGGGTTTTTATGTGAGGCCTTGGTTATCAACACAGGACTGATTCAACATCATCAGTCTGTCATTTTCTGTGATAGACTGCCTCCACCCATCACGTAACTAAAATCTGACTTTAATCCCAGTAAAAAGCAGTCAACTGTTTTCAAAAATGAGATGGATATTCACAAACGAGACTACTCTGCAACAATTGCCTTATCATTTAGTCTGCTTGGAATAGTGGAGAGGCACAATAAATGACTTTGTAATGGTGATAGGCTTCTTTCCACTTGTGTCAATCTTTGGTACTTCCAGTGAAAGCCCAAGCGTGAGACCCCTCCACCGCTTCACCCCCCACCGCCTAAGAGGACGATAAGGAAATGAGGAAGCCGACGCAGACTCTTTCTTCTCTCTCAGCTCTGCTGTAGACTGGCTGTGTGCTGGCTGGCTGGCTGGCTGGCAGCATAGAGACCTAGTGGCACCGTGCGGGAACCAACGTCAGCTTGTGATGAAAGACGACGGCCGATTGTTTCCTGTTATTGAAAAAGTACTACTGGGGAGAGGAGGCTGAGAGGGGGGAGGGAGGGCTCCAGTGAAAGGGAATGCCACTGAAATATTGAGCTGCTTTAAAAATGTCCTTTGGTGAGGAACAGAGGTGAATTTCAACCCTGACACATTGCTCATCAGCTAAATGTAAGCCAAATGAGCTACGTGATGAATGCAGACATTTAAGCACCAGATACTTTGGACAGGAATTCAAGTAGAACAAAACTGCCCCCTCGTAGGGTTAGGTCTCACGTGAATTTGTTTGAACATGCTGCTTGATAGAATGAGGTCAGATTTGCGGAGTTAAGACGTAACATATCATCTAGGCTGAAAACACAAGACTCTCTGAATAACTTTACCTTGCGTTTTGTCACATTTTATCGTCTAAATCGGATGCTCGTAGATTGCCGCGGTCCCTCACTGGATGCATACTGACAAAGAGTTGGCACAGTTCTGTTTCAGGTTGTGCTTTCAAATGACATAATCAGAGGTGTGACAACAACATTGGTGTCCACAGAGATGTGCTCCACCATGCTGGTTCTCACCTCTGTGACAATCTCCTTTCGGGCCAACCACTGAAAGAGGGAGACTCAGTCATATTATAAATATTCTTGGAGACTCGTTAAAATATTTCCCTGTTTATCTTTTATTCAGTTTTCTCCTCAGCTGAGAGGCTTTGTGTGGGAATATGACTTCTCCGAGTCCTTTCATAGTGGAGAGGATGTTTTGTCTACCCTTTTGACGCTTTTTTTCTGTGATGGTGAAGCAGCCAGAGAAAAAACATTGCTCCCTGAGAACTTCAAGCTTTTTATTACATCAGAAAAATAAAAACAAAAACAAACAGTGCAGATCAAATATACACGGCCTTGAAAACATGTTCATTCTCTCACCAGACAAAATGTGATTTTTTTTGTGTATCTGTTTTTTTATTCTAATGTGTCAGAAAACAAAATAGTGCAGAATTGTGAAGAGGAAAAATTTCTAAACTTTCCATGAATAAAATAAAAATATGTAGTTCCTCTGCTCTTCTATAATTCTATGATGAAATTATCTTTTTTGAAAGCAAATGATCTTATTCACTCTGACCTCTCCTCTTTTGATGCTGTCACTTTTAGTGTTTATCATTTTAATTGATCCATGTTCAAAAATATAATTTTTGTCTGATGGACTGACTCCTAATTATCTCCTACAATTTAGACCTGCAGTGGTATGGCTGCAAAATGTTATATTTTTCTGAATTTTATTTTTGTCTAGAACTGAAAGCTGTGAGTCAGTGGATATTTTTGTGTGTAAAAAAAAAAAAAAGCAGCAGCAATACCTGTTAACCCATTTTCTCTAATGGACTCACTACTATCTCTGGCTTATGAATTGCAAGTACAGACCATAAAATATTGCAATGACCTTTAACTGATAATAGGTGTGTAATTTTCTATAATAGCTTTGTAATTACACAGAAAATGCTTGCCTGGGGGATACAAAAACTCACTTCAAAATTACAAGATCACATGTGGGTCTGAGGACAATAGAGTGCCAGAAATGAGAACTGATGGAACAGAAGCAATAAAAGAACAGACTGCAAACCCCCCACCCCCAGATTTTAGCATAATAAAATCATACTTGCTGGGGGTAGAAGATTGGAGGAATTATTTTGAGAAAAAGCATGTAGACAAAAAAACAACAACAAAAAAACAAAAACAGAAAAAAGCAAAGATAAAACTCAACCCTTTTGTCAACAACCAACCAATAATTTCACACTGTAACATGAGAGGTGGCAACAGGAGATCATTATAATACAATTTTGCCACAGGCTGTTAATTCAGGTTGCAGCTGACATTATTATTGTTGTGGCCGACAGTGTAACGTGAGGCAGCTTTCTTGCAGTGTAGCAGAATGTCGCTAATAATTTTTAGGAATACAAATTTCTTGGTACCCTGACAGCTTATTACGAAATAATTAATATGTCATAAAAAGTGATGCAGTTAAGGTCCAATGTACACTTGTCCAAGGTTAGTATTTGACGAAGTAAACAAACAGAATTATGAATACTCAGCTTCTTATTGCAGAGTGATATGGTGAAAATGCATGGGCAGATTTGTGCTACCCCTAAAGAGACTTAATCCTCACATTTTAGAAATATTTGCGGAGAAAGGAAAAGCAAAAGCTCTCTGAGCACCTCAGAAAGAAGAATATATAGATATCCATAATACAAGTAAAGACTAAAAATCCATTTCCAAACAGATTAATTTCTCTGTGATTGTAGTTACTAACGCTGACAGAAGATTTAGCGTTCAATGGACCGTGTAAGCAATCCGGTTGATCAGATTAAAGGGGCAGAAGATGGATGAAAATTAGTCACCTAAAGCCATTCAAGAACTCCAAGGCCAAATACTTCATATGCTGACTGCAACATACATTACATTTCAAATCATACTGGAAGAAGTTCAAAATCCGGGAGGGCTCCACCACTGATGGAAAAACACAAAACAGACAGAGTGGAGAAGGCAAAAAACATGTTGGCAAACCCTAAAGGATCTTAAAGAAAACCCTTTGAGTTGATGAAACAGCAACAGAGCTTTTTGGCCAGTAATGTTGCAGCTATGCTTTCAGGAAGGAAAGTCCAACATCTAAGGAGAAGAACATGATGCATGCTGTTTGGGGATGATTTCTAACTCTAGCATTGGCCAAGTTGAATCTGTGCAGGACACAATAAAGTCTCAAGGATATAAAGGCAGCCTAGAGCTAAACATACTGTCAGAAGACTCATTCTCAGTCACTGGTTATGGGTCTCCTAAGAATATAAATAGAATATGCTGAGCAATAATATCTACACACTCAAGAATGCCCTCAGTAACCTCAGATTAAATTAATTCAACATGAAGCTTTTACAGGACAATCTGAGAATTGCAGAGTAGAGATGCAACCCTTCAAACCTGAGAATGTCAGGTTTGAAGGGTGAAAAGTGATGCACTTAATGTCTGCATTATCTGCAAACATTAACTGCAGTTAATGCCAGCAGATTACTCAACTGCTGGCAGATGAGAAATCGCATTGTTTGTTGGCAGTGATTGCTGCAGTATATATATATATATATATATATATATATATATATATATATATATATATATATATATATATATATATATATTTTTTTTTTAAAGTTTAATCAGTAATACTTTTAGAACAAATGTATGTCAGATCATGATTTCTCGGTTAATGACAAGTTGTCACAGCAAAGACGTTTTGGATAATGTCAACTTTGTCTTAAAAGTGTCATGATTTACCAAATGAAACTTTATGACAACAGTCATAACTATTCATCAAGAATCACTCATGTTCATGACATGTCATGTTTATGACGATGTCATGACAGTCTTATTCACAACCCGTCAAATGAAGTGTTACCGGCTTTTTTAATGAGAGTATAAGAGGAGCCTTCCTTTATCCTTAGTACAATTCTAGCTAATTTAAGTACCTTAAAAGGAAATTGATGAGACATTTGTACCAACAATAACTGTTACTAATTTAGAGGACGGATGCCCAGCTCTTGCCAAGTAAAACCTCTGTGACTCACTGGTGTACCTTATGTGTCAGAAAAACCCATTATGTTTAATTCTGTTGACATCAAACAACCTATTCTTTCAAACTTGATTGTATTCAGAGGGATTGAGAGAATTCTTCTGCTCTCATCTCTTGATCATGATATGAACTGAAGGGAATTAGTTTTTCTTCTCTCTCTCTTCTTTAAACATTCCCTTCTGTTCACAAGGACTGAGCATGTGTTTCTGTTCTCAGCAGCAAAAGTTAGACAAAAAAAAAAAAAGGAAAAAAAAATGGATCCTGTGGGAGGGGTACAGAAGTCAGTCAGTACCGCCCCGGCAGAAACAAAAACTTTGGAAAGTCCACACATCGTCACTTTGCTGAATGCAGCCACATTCCCGCCAGTGGATTACAAAGCCTAACTATTATTCAAGACAGCCACTTATTTCAAAACAGTAAGTTTTGATTTGTTTGCTTTCATTCTTCCCCTTTGCTGTTATTTTCCCTGAAAGCTTAGAGGGCAGAAGTCAGTATTTTTTCCTTGACTCTGCGCCAGTCCATTTTATTATATATCAAAGCAATTTGTGTTGTGTGTGTTTATCTGCAGATTGCGTCTTGGGATTGTCAGATATTTTACTTGTAAAAGCAGAAACCTGTTGATAAAAAAGGTTGGAAGCTCTATCTGCTAAATATTCTCTGAAAGTCCCAACTGTGGCTCAAAAGGTTTACCATCAGGACTTAGTTCAACCAACAAAAACTCCCTTAAATTGTTTCTAGATTAGCAGTTCAGTGTTTCAGTTTTTCTCTTCATGTGATGTTCGGGGAAGTAGCGAGGCTTTCAGTTTTCCTTGGAGCTACATAAACAGTTTACACAGACTCTTCCTTTCCCCTCTATATGAATTATATAACAAGAACAGTCTCTTCTTATCTGATCTCGGCATTGTGGTATTATTTAAAGACAACGATGCCGCAGAGCTTCCTGAAAGACTTTGCCAGACGTTCAGTGACCAGCAGATAACCTCTGGGTTCAGACCCCGATTGTGCATTGGGAAGATGGGCAGAAATGTTGCCTCACTGTCTTATGAGTAAATTCCTGTTGACCATAGTGTTTGAGTGACCAGTGACCTGTCTACTTTCACAGTTTCATTGTTCAAATTTGGTTTTGTTTTTGATGGACACATACTTGGAATTTTTTCAGAGGGAGAAATGTACACTTCTATTGTTCTTATCAATTATAAATTGTTTTTTTTTTTTTTAACTGAGACTATTTTTGCATTGCAATATTAGCATGACACAGTCCTAATACAATGGGTTTGTGAAACTTGGAGACGTCTCATCAATTACCACATTTCTCTCCTGGTTCCCTCATTTGTTTTTTCCTGTCCTTTCCACCTTCTAAGACTGCAATTATCTGTTCTTTCACTGCCACAGTCATTGTCTCCCTGCCACTGGACAAGGACACTTGAACCACTGACCGAGCACCTTCACACTGCAGAGACTGAGATCTCACATTTACAGAAAACTTTAAGCGATGGAGGGATACCTGATGAGATTCACTCTGCTTCTCTGCATCACCCTTGCAGCCTCATGTAAGTCTTTCTGGCTAATATTTATTTATCTCACCTTTTACATCTAAAGACTTTCTTATCTAAGTCTTTCATTTATGAAAAAAAAGCAGTTTGAAACTTTAGGCAAAAGGCCAGTATATTTAGTCAATGTTGAATGTTTGAGTGATAGTTCTGTCAAACTAAAGTTCAAAGCCAGATATTGATCTTGATTTGTTCCCTTCTTTGACATCATCTTATTCTGAGCACATAAAAGTGCCTTCTGTAGTTGTCCATCAATTTGTAGAGGCAGACAATGCACAAAATAGTTCCTTGTGAATAATTACACATGAAAGAAGTCCCAGTAGAATTAGACTTGTTCTAAATAGGATCATTTACTGCCAGGTTACTGGGGGAAACATTTGTTGTTTTTATTGCTTAGAAAACTCTAAATTTTGCACAAAGACACAAGAAAACATGTGATTTAATGTAATCCTTCCCAGTTGCCCCTCATCCATCAGTCTGCCTGCTGTGGCTGGCTGACCGTAACAGATTCAAACCAGTAATCCCCACAAGGTATTGAAGATAACAAAACCCTGCCTAACCCAGTGAGCAAAAATCAAGCTTCTAAGTCTGCTCTGAATCATGCGACCATGTATTTTCCAACAGTGAGATTAATATCTGACACTCACAACCATATCAATAATAAAACTAGACCTAACACTTTGCAGTGTTCCAGATCTGCTCATTAAATTTTTGAGATAACAAATTTACAACGTTCACTTGGACTTTACATTCATGAACAAATATTATTTGTGGACAAAGTTTATGTCGAAGATTGCCTCAGCATCAGGTAATAAAACCCCCGAAACTTATTTTTCCACTTTAGTTCTTCGTCTTGGACTCACCGCTTTTAAGACGACAATTGAATAAAGAACGACTTAATAGACCTAAATCCTAAAATCGTTAATAAATGGGTAATCTTTTCAGCATCTATATGTGAAATGCTGGTAGATAAATAGATGGAAGGTGATAATGAAACAAAGTGTGAAAAAGTTCACATTTTCACTTTGGTTACATTTAATGTCACTGTTTCATTATAGTCTTTGACAAACTGCATCTGATTTACCAACATTTTTATTGAAAGAGTCACAGATGCCTACTCTTGTCCGTGAATGCGTAAATATCATAACAACAAACACACTGTCACTGTGTAATGTACTTTGACATTCACTGTTCCCACAACAAATTTCTTGGATTTTTCTTTTTTTTTTTCTTTAGTTTTGCTTGAAGTTGCAAGTGCTTGGACATTTTGCGCCCACATTCAAAGGTCTTTACACATACCCAAAAAGCAAACAGACCAAAAATAAATAAAGTGACATTTTTATAATTCCTTTTGGAGAAACATAAAGTAGACACAAGGTTGTTATTTTTTTTTCTTCTAGCAAACTAAGCCAGCATAGACAATCTGGCTCCAGTACTGACCTGCTGTATTACAAATCACAGTATTTCCTTAGGTACTAAGCAGCCTCTCAGCGTGATGCTGGAGGCACGGATGCAGTGTTGTACTTTAGCCAACTGGCAAACCTGTGGAGAGTTTGACCTTATGTAGTTTCACTGCAGGGGATCAGTCTCACTTTCTGGTGCTGCAGTTTGCAAGGAACTGTTTAGTTCAGTCCTAATTGCCTGTATGACACATAGTTCTGAACCCAATATCCGTTTTTTCCTTTCTTAAATGAGGCTCTAGGGATCTTCTTCCCCCCCTTATTTGTGCATCTGCCAGAGCAGCTTTAGGTGAAGACCCAAGGGGAGCTGGAACATTGTTACAGCAGTATATTCTAATATTGTGCTCTGGATTTCTGAGACATTAATCAAAACATTGATGAGACGAGATGCTGCATCTCGTTCACTGTGTATTCGTCTTTTTTGGTGTCAAATGAGTTTGTCATTTTTCAGACGTGTCTCCTGGGCTTAACGCTACTTTTTTTGGTTTCACAAGCGGGAGCCGTGTCACACCGCAGCTAGGCACGTCCTCTCAAAATGGTATTTTTCCAGACTGATAACGAATATGGAAATTAATTCTGCACACGCACGACATGTTTTACGTTTTTTTTTTATCTTGAATAGAAACCCGGTCAGCTGTAACTGTGACTAAGAACAGATGTTGTGAAAAGTTGCTAAAAAGAAGTAAACACAGAAAAAACCAAAAGTAAATCAAAAATAGCCTGCAGCCCACCACAAATCCAATGACATACTTGGCCAAAGCAGTACTGTGTAGTGTTTTCCTTCAGCTCAGGCCTACTTTAGCTTTTTGTAATCTTTTTATATGTTCAACCATGCTGTCAGCTATGACGCATGACTACAAGCAACAGCTACTCTTAAATTCACAGTTAACTTTACCCTAACACTTCACTGATGGATGGAGATTCAGATCCTACTTCTGTAATAAATGTGGGACATGTTTTAAAAAAATTTAATGTCATTGAAAAGTTCATTTATTTCAGTAACTAAACTCCCCAAGAGCGACAAATCTTGATTAATTACACTGTTTTTACTCCCCCCCAGGTCTTTATTTCTTTTAATTATGAGAGCTACAGTAAACATTTAAGATTGGAATATTACATTAAACCAAAACAAAACAATTTTTAATACAGAAATGTAGACTTAATTAAAAGTATGTTTGAATCTTGCCTGAAAGTTATTAGTTACAAAAGGTAGTGTTAGTCTGACAACTGAGATTCATCAGGACACATTGTTCTATTCAGTATGACTACGCTCAGTAGATTAGTAATGCTATTCAAATACTATCTGTCAATCAGTAAACTGACCAACAGAAATAAGCCTGAGCTTATGCGGTTTCCGTCCAGTAAAGACCAATCTTTTCCTTATTAAACCCGAATATGTTCCTTTATGCTCAAATAAGTCAGATTTCTCTCTTTTTGTTAGCAACTTATCTGTAATCTTGGAGTAGATTTTTGCAAGGCTTCAATAAAACAGCTATTATTAGGCAGGTCTTAACTTAACCACACTGCCTCCCTAAGGGGCTAATTTTGTCAAAAGTGTTGCTGCTTTAATGGCCTTACAGGCTTTAGCCAGCAGGTTTGTTTCTAAGAGCATTTAGGTCACAACATATCTGATATCTTCAGTAAACGATTGTTTTATAAGTATTAGATTACACAGACCGACAATCACATTTCAGCAGTGGTGTGTTCACACTCCGTCTTAACAGCTGATTTGACAAGTAATTTTGTTTTTAAGAGAAAATGGATTAAGAAGTGATTTTAATGTCTATTTAGTTTGGCTATGAAAAATAACTAATAAGCGCCAAAGCAGATATTTACAAAATTAGTAATTTTAATTGACATTAAGGGTTGGGGCACTACCTGATTATCAGGAAATAATTGTCAAATAGTTTTTTGTATTAGTTATTGTTTTATGAATGCCTGTGTGTTGAGGTTTGAAAGGTTGATCCAATGGCAGATTTTTAATGTACTGTGTTTCTAAGCTTTAAACGAACAAAAGTATTTTAAAGTCTATTCTCTGACTTTAGTCACATCCTTACACCGTGCAGCTCAGTATTTTCTACGATAATATATACTGCACTGTAAATATCCAAATGTGAAAGTAAAATAAACCTGCAAATATCTTAAAATACTCTTGCTCAAACTTGAGTAAAGAGTAACATGCAAATTATCACAGTTTCACCAAAAGGAGCTTAAATCTAAATTTTCTAGTTTATGTTTTTACTCTACCAGCGCAAGACATTGGGTGATATTCGGATTTAGTGGTTTGTTGTTACATGGAAACCAGCAGCGTGCCACCTCCTTAGCAGACAATATTCCGGTTATGTTTTTCAGACTAAGCACAACAATCACTATCGTAAAAGCTAGCTGTGGCAGCCGGACAGATTTACAATTATCTTTGCGTCTGACTGAAGACTTTGTGATTATGAACTGTGTGTGCAGCGTTTCCTGGCTAGAAAATAATGTTGAACATACCCCCTGCTGCAGCAGCTTTCCCAGAGGGACACAGGCTTCATGATGCTAACTGCCAGACCTCCTGCTGCATTGTTGCCAACCCCTGAGTCTCCTGCCACGGACTGAGGGAAAAGTACAAAAGTGATTAGCCTGCCGCTGGAGGGGGGGTGAGAGTTGGGGAGATTTGAGTCTGAAAATGGACCAAAAGAGAGACGCAGGGCTAGACAGACACACAAACAGAGATAAGAGAGTTCATAAAGGCTGATTCATGGAGACAGTGAGGAAGTGGGGGGTCAAATCTTTGTGACTGTCAAAGAGCAGATAAGTAGAAAGATTTAGGAGGAAAGAATGAAATAGAAAAAAGAGAGATTTAGGAAAAGGACAAGACAACTATTAAAACAGTGTCATATAAAGGGGCCAAATGAAAATATGAAATCACAAAAAGTGGCAATTGAAGAGTAATCAGACAGATGAATAAGAAAACCTGACACAACACAGGACATTGTGGGTGTCTAGAATTGACAAAGAAACAAAGAAAAAGAAAGAAAGCTGACATAGGTTTCTCAGAAGTCGAGCAGTTAAAAATGACTTTGTGAGTCAAAACAGTCGACTTCCCCTGTTTGACTGTAGTGAGCCAGCTCAGCCTGCAGTCAGACTGGGTGGCAGGGAGACGCGACCACTTGTCGCTGCCTCAGACCGATTTCAATCTCCTACAATGTTATGCCCCTCCTGAATAACAATCCATTTCTGACTGCCTTTCTTTTCCACTGTTTGAATACAAAAAAAAGCAGTGTGAGGAAGCCTCACCGACTTTCTGTTCTTTTTTTTTTTTTTTTTTTGCAAATGTTTTTGAGAGATAAACATTTTTTAAAGATAATTTTAACATGACTGGGTGGATATTAATACCATACATGTAAATTAATAATAATGAAAAAACTTTCTTAATGAGTGATAAAAATAATCCTTAGATAGTGGAATCAGAAAAAGTATTTGGCACAACATTACTTTAACATCATAACTTCTTAGAACCGAAGCAAACCACATGTGGTTTATGAAAAGCAAATACAT